AAAGACCGCCTCAAATGCACAATCCTCTTGGAGGGTGATTAGAATCATTTGGGTGTTTAGAAAGGCACTTTGCATTATTTCAATTGATAAATGAGTGTGGAATGTAGTGTCCATAAACCATGACGGGAAGAGCATCAGCTCCAAGGAGCACGCCATTATCTGTATTAGTATTCTCTTCCAGGTTGCCAGTGAACGGTAGAATAGGTTGTATTACAGAAAAAGAAAAGAAAAGAAGAAAAGCTGCAAATAAAAAATGTTACTTATTGTTATTATTCTTGCTCTGAGTTATGGACTACTTACAGACATGGTATGGAGTCTGAGAAGGAAAAGTCTATTACCATCTGGATAATGCAATTCAATGGAAAATGGCAAAAGAGCTAAATATACTAATGCATGAAGAGGAAATAACATTACAAAGGGGAGGCATAGTCTTGTCACTGCACAAGTGTTCACGTGTGCCCAGCCTACAAGCTACACACCCTTCAGAGCGACCGCACAGCTTCTAATACCCATATTTTGGTCCATATGACTGCTGTAAAGCAACTGGATTCAATAGATTAAGAAGAAAAATGAGTGGTACATAGAGCTCTTGTACCCCAATCCTCCCTCTGTGTATTAGTATCAGTACTCTGCAATCTCCTTCTCCTTTTAAATCTTATCCTAATATGCTGGGAAATGACAGATGTCCTATCATCTTTTAGCTTCATTACCTAAAAAAATATTTGTGCCAAATATACAAGGCAGTTATATATAAAATCATCTCAACATCAACATTTTGAAAATATTGCAGAAATTACTTACATTAAAAGGAATCAAAGACAAAAAACAAAACAATGAATCATGACAGTATAAAATCAACAAATGAACAACATTGAATCCAAACTTATAACTGGTCTTTACGGCTCTTGAGGCACCAACTGTCATTCCTGCCATGCAGCAATCCATCCTTAAATAGCTTCTGCAAGTGGTGACCAACGTTTACTGCAGCAACAGGGTGTAGGTGCACTGGAGTTTCCTATACAAAAGAAGGAAATATACAACTTCATATTACTGTGGCAGCATAGCACGAATCTTGAGTAATATTATATGTAAAGAAAACAAATCTGTAAAATGGCTTGCTGAAGGCACTGTAGTAATAATGTGAGGCAATAGTCCAACTGTGCATAAACAAAACAATACATTAAAATGGCCATGTTTGAAAAGGTGGAGTCAGGATATTTCTAGAATGAAACTAAAAAGAAGAAGGAATACCTCCTGCTTCCAATGTCTTCAAAGTAATCTCAAAGGGGGGCCAGGCAATGATTCCAGTGGCTGCCAAGACGTGGCATCCCAAGACAATTCTGTGTCACTTATGAATATGCCTGAAATTCCTCTGTTGTTTTAAACCTGAATCTTTGACTTAACAGCTAACTGGCAACTAGCACCTCAGCTCTTGTACCACAATCCTCCCTCTGTGTATTAGTTTCAGTACTCTGTGACCTTTTTCTTCTTTCAAACCTTATCCCAATATGCTGGGAGATGACAGATGTCCTATCAATTTTAGCTTCATTACCCCAAAAAATGTTTGTGCCAAAGCCAGGAACATACAAAGTGGGGTAATGTTATGTTTCTGATTTTTCCCTTGAACAGCTGCCTCTGCATGCAGCCTGAGGCATTGATTTGTGTGGTACTGAGGGCTCCCAGTGTGAGTGGGTTAACAGACAAGATTAAAGACAGAAGAGGTGATTCAGGCAGAGTTGCACTGTATTAAATCAAGGAATGCATCTGGTCTTAGCAACACAGCTGGGATTGTTGCCTCCCACAGAGATTGAATCAAAACCTACTTTTCTTTACTGCTTTATTCTAGGAATGTAACTAAAGTTGGCCCCTAACATTTGAAAGAAACACAGGAAAATCTACAAGACATGATAACATGATTAATGATGCCAGATGGTGCTGTAGTACTTGAGGATAATCTGAATATTAAGTATCTATTCTTTTGTAGAGTTCCATCATAGAGGCCAATCTATAACATAATTTAATTGAGGTTTAATAAATAAATGTACTACTTCAGCTTTTTATATGTTAAAATAAGGTGAATGTTACTACCTATGTTTCATGGTTTCATGGAGTTGCCCTCTCACCTTATAGATTATTTTCACAAGCTCCATTGCTGTTAAATATTTCTTTTCACTTTCCTTCAGGGTCTGGATAATCTGGTCCTCTCTCAGGTTGCGATGATCAATGTACATCTGGATCTTTTCCGTTGGTGATTCAATTACTGGCCCATGTCCTGGATATATAACTTTTGGTGTCAGAGCTAGGATGAGCTACAAGACAAAAAAAACATGGGGGTATTAGAATCATTTTCTATAGGTAGTGAGTCTATCTATGGCTTTGTCACAATCATTTATTATATCCTGTAAATTTTAATATTAAACAAATAACATCTGTCTTACCTTAAGTGAAGACATGTAACTGTGGAGATCTTCAAATACCGCTGTTCCTTCCCCTAATATGC